TTGGCTTTCAGATGCATCATGTAGATTTTCATATAACCAGATAATTCACCCACTGCTCAGAAAACTGAGAATTCTTCTCTAAGTGGCAGTCCAAATTTGCAAACCACAGCTGTTTTTAGCAATTGAATCATTGTCTTTCAGGTGCCAAAAATATCACCTATCATATTCCCCAGAGTTCAAAAAAAGAGGAAAGAGGAGAAAAAGCAAAGAACAAGTTGAGGATAAAGGTAATGTAAAGCTTCTCTAGTTACAGAAATTATTAAAAATAGCTATAATAACTATAACAACAATAATAATAGCAATAAGAGCTAGCATTCAATAACAATGAACAAAACAGGACGTTCTCACATGACTTCCCTAATCTACCTAAGAGGGAGGGAGAATAGTATCCTTAGCATCTTCATTTTACAAAGAGACAAAATCAGAGAAATCAAGTAAGTGACTGGCCCAAAGCCACACAGCTATACTTAAGCCAGGCCATCAGACTTCAAATCCTGGGCCTAATACCCTATCAAACAGCCTTACCAGTGATTTATAAAGCCACTCCCACATGGCACCATTTTGGTGAAAAATCTGCCCCTTTTCTACCACTGTGGGCCTAATGGGGTCCTTAGGACTTCAATTCCTTTTTTTTTTTTTTTTGAGTCGGAGTCTCGCTCTGCCACCCAGGCTGGAGTGCAGTGGCCGGATCTCAGCTCACTGCAAGCTCCGCCTCCCGGGTTCACGCCATTCTCCTGCCTCAGCCTCCCGAGTAGCTGGGACTACAGGCGCCCGCCACCTCGCCCGGCTAGTTTTTTTTTTTTTGTATTTTTTAGTAGAGACGGGTTTCACCGTGTTAGCCAGGATGGTCTCGATCTCCTGACCTCATGATCTGCCCGTCTCGGCCTCCCAAAGTGCTGGGATTACAGGCTTGAGCCACCGCGCCCGGCCTACAAAGAGAGAAGAAACAAAGTACACTTCCAGCTTTGGGGTGAAGGTTCCAGGTATAGAGACAATAAAACCTTACTTGGAAGGCCAGGCACCGTGGCTCACACTTATAATCCCAGCACTTTGGGAGGCCAAGGCGGGTGGATTGCCTGAGCTCAAGAGTTCAAGACAAGCCTGGGCAACATGGTGAAACCTTTGTCTCTACCAAAAACACAAAAATTAGCCAGTTGTGGTGGCATGTACCTGTGATCCCGGCTACCAGGGAAGCTGAGGTGGAAGGATTGCTTGGCCTGGGAGGCTGAGGTTCAGTGAGCTGAGATCCCGGCACTGCACTCCAACCTGGGTGACAAAGTGAGACCCATCTCAAAAAAAAAAAAAAAAAAAAAAAAAAAAAAAAAAAAAACACCGGGTGCGGTGGCTCATGCCTGTAATCCCAGCACTTTGGGAGGCCGAGGCGGGTGGATCACGAGGTCAGGAGAGCGAAACCATCCTGGCTAACATGGTGAAACCCCGTCTCTACTGAAAATACAAAAAAATTAGCTGGGTGTGGTGGCGGGCGCCTATAGTCCCAGCTACTCAGGAGGCTAAGGCAGGAGAATGGTGTGAACCCAGGAGGTGGAGCTTGCAGTGACCTGAGATTGCGCCACTGCACTCTAGCCTGGGCGACAGAGCGAGACTCTGTCTCAAAAAAAAAAAAATTTAAAAAACGTGAAACCTAACTTGGCCCATCTCTGAAATGATTTGAGGAACTTGCAAGAAAGTCATTTGCTAGTGCGCCCTAGTTTGTACTTTGGACCCTAATTCCCAAGAACCCTCCTCCCCACCCACCAGGGACTTCAGGAACAGTCAAAGCAACATTTCAGCAATCAAAGTTTGGGGATCCTGGTCTAGTCTCCTAGCTCTCATGTCCCCAGGGAAGGCCAGTGCTTAGTACACCTTGGGTTGTGGTGAGAGAGACTCTCCTCTTGGAGGCCCTAACAACTGGGTCCAGACTGCTTTAGCCAATGAGAAGTCTATCCAGTTGTTCAAATCTCAGGGAATCCATGATCCAGCAACACCTCTAGCATATACTCAGTGAAGGCAATATCTGGCAAGAGCTTTGTAAAAGAGAATCGGGGGAAAAAAACAGGGAAATGACTTAAAGCCTACTAAATGAAACAGGGAGGATGAAACTGTAGAAGTTCATATTTTCCAAAAATGACTGCAAAAACATTTCTGGTCTTATATGCTTTTCCAGAGTATTGCTACTCCCCCATCGAAAGGAGGAGTTAATTTCTTTTCACCTTGAAGCTTGGTGGGTCTTGGCGACTCCTTCAATGAATAGGATATGGCTAATGTGATGCCGTGTGACTTCTGAGGTTAGGTTAGGAAAAGTGATACAGCATCCCCTGTCAGAGATGGGAGTGAACAAGTCTTCTGATGGTCCCAGATACTAACCTTTCAGTAATCCCAGCCTTTAGGTCTTTTAGCTCAGGCTTCAGACATCACAGAGCAGAGACAAACCCTTCCCTCTGTACTCTTTGAGAATTCCTGACCCATACAATCCTTTGGCTTCATAAATGGCTGTTTTATGCTACTAAGTTTTGGGGTAATTTGTTGCACAGCAAGAGATATTCAGAACAGGAACCCTGGCTTGAGGGGTTCTCTTTGGGCATGTTCTCTTTGCAACTGCCAAAAGGTAAGTCCAGACCCTGCTGCGAAGCCTAGCCCTCCCCTGCCAGGTGCTTTCTGCATATAGTCCTCTCTCAGGGGTCCCACTGTTCCTCCCTGTGACAGCACTTCCCCTTCCCCTTCTAAGTCCGTTAGGCTTGTTTTTAAAGATCTGAATACCAATTGGGCACAGGGTTTTAGCTCTTTTTCTGAAGTTTCTTGGGCCCAGATAAATCAGGAGGTAAGTTATTTCAGTTTTCAAACTGGTTCATATGGTGAAGGCATATGCAGTGGGGGAGGGTAACGGGAAGTGGGGATAAAGGAAAGAACCTAACTTCCAACACCTTTGTCTTAGTTCTGACCTACAGCCACTTGTTGTACTTAAATAATAACATGAGTGCAGTTAGAACCTTCACTCTCAGTGCCTTGATAGAACTGAATCATTTTACTTCCAACAACAACCCTCTGATCACACTCAAAACGGGAAAAGCCAAAACTATAGGAACTTGACTATCTTGTATACTATTGTAATATAAACATTTAGAACAGTGTCTAGATATAGTAAGCACTCAATAAACATTTATTTAATGAAGCAATAAACAAATGAATTAATGACAGAAAATTCTTCCCTCCTTCTAGAGGGCAATATGTAATATCAGATTAGCATAACGTGCTTAGAAGACTACAGTATTCAATAGGTTAACATTCTATTACATTAGGTAATATGTTTTCAATCTGCTGAAAGTAAGTGTTAAAACTTACTTTACCTTGAGGGCAGAGACCATGTCTTATACCACTTTGTATCCCCAGCATCTGACGCTTTGCCTTAGGTACTCGCTAAATGCTCAGTGAATATTTTTCACTAAATGAATATCAAACAGGGACTGGTAGAAATATTTCAAATCATTTAGTTCTCCTAGGCTTTGCCTAGTGAAAGGCAGTGACAGATAAGGGTGCTGGCCAATGCACCTGCTCCCTGGAGGGATCAGATTGGGATGTAGTAGTTCAGAAGTTCTGAGGCTTCTCAGCCTATCCAACTCTTGAGAACAAGATAATTCCAGATGCTGTTTATAATCTGAGTATGACATTGGGATGAATACAAAAAAGGTGAAGCCTTCCACTTCAGCTGTCAAAACTGATGTTCTTTGATTTCTTCAAATAGGATTTCCTTTCAGAGCTATAAATGAGCTATTCATTTGTCTGTTTATTAATTCATCTTGTATTTATTGAGAGCCTGCTTATTACAAATTTTTTCCAAAGATTTGTTTAATTCGCTCAAGAAATAGCAGACTATTCAAAGGGTCCCCATTCCCTGGAAAAGAACCTTCACTGGGCAACCAAAGATAATAATATGTTGTAGAGGCCCATGACAATTGTAGATGTAAGATCTTCACAATTTAGAATTAACTAATACAGGATTTCAAAATGTGATCCATAATTGGCATTATGGAAAATCACTTGACAGATTATTAAAAATAGAGACCTCTGGAAGCCACTCCAGCCATATTAAATCAGAACCTCAGGAGTGAAATTAGAAACTTTAGTGAGCACCACTGGTGATTTTGATCGTCCTCAAGTCTGAGAATCACTGACCAAAGGTGTGCTGACAGCACCTACATGCAATTGCTTAATATACTATAGCTTTCCTCTCAACTCTACAAAATTAAGATCTTACTTGGCTAATTCTAAGACACCTAGGAACAGTGTAAATATGGCTTAGAATTGCCAGTGCCCCAGACTGGAATTTCACTGAATGAATATAATCATTTTCTCCCTTAAGTAACCTAAAATAAACCCCTCCAAAAAAGAAAATATCAGGTAAATCTATTCTTCCCTTACGAAATTCACAGTTTAGAAGCAATTAAAATAGAGATGCTTTAGGTCAGGCACAGTGGCTTACTTACACCTGTAATCCCAACACTTTGGGCGGCTGAGGCAGGTGGATCACTCAAGGTCAGGAATTCGAGACCAGCTTGGCCAGCATGGTGAAACCACATTTCTACTAAAAATATAAAAATTGGCTGGGCGTGGCAGCTTGTGCCTGTAGTCCAGCTCCTTAGGAGGCTGAGGCAGGTAAATTGCTTGAACCCAGGAGGCAGAGGTTGCAGTGAGCTGAGATCATGCCGCTGCACTCCAGCCTGGGCAACAGAGCAAGACTCCATTTCAAAAAAAAATTAATTAAAAACAATAGAGATGCTTTAAACCTTGATATGGCACACACAGACCCTTTTCAATTTGAAAAACAACAAATGACAGGCAACAATTGTGATGGGGGGCTTGTGACCATGCCCATCTGGACTGTACTATTTTCCTATTTTTCCACCCTGGTTCCCACAGTGCTGAGGCCCAGCTGGGACTTTGTGTCTTTTTCCTTGCCTTACCCCCAGACTTGCTCCTTTTCTTCCCAGGATACTTTTACTCACTTTCTGAATCTTCCTAATCTGGTCAGAGAGTGTGTCTAACAGGCGAGTTTTCAGGAAGTCCATCACCTTGACCACCCGGCCATCAATGTAGCAACTGGAATGAAAATAAAATAAGAATCAGATAAAATCTCAAGCAAAGGACTATAAATACATTTTTCTAGCCGGAGGTCTCTGTTGCCTGAGGAAACAAACCAGGGTTCCACCTGGGCTCTCACATTCTAAAAGGTTTTGACCCTGGGTACTTTTCAAACAAATAATAACCTTTTTATCTTCTCCATTTCCATCGCTATTTGTGGGCTAATACTGTTATTTTTTTCAGCTTTTGTCACATGAAACCCTATTGCTTACTTGACGGAATTGATGGAAATTCCATAATACAAATTGGGTAATGAGGAAAAGCTTACTTTTTTTTCCCTTGGGGAAATAATTTAACACCCATCCCATGCCCATCGCTAATCCCACCTTAAAGTAATAAAGGTATGTGAGAGGTTTGAAATAATACTCAATCATTTTAATAAGTTTTTTCATACCTTTAAATAAGAAAATAAATACCAAAGCAAAAATCTGACTTAGTGTAGTGCGTGAGTCTCCAGCTCATTCCTGTGGGCGAACACTCTGTAGTCAACCTGCTACCAAAATATGCTGTGGTTGCCGACTACCCCCAGAATGAATGAACAAAGGAATGAATGATGTACAAAGGTGGAAGAGCCCTCTCCTAAAATAGTAACAACTTGATACTCATCGGCTTTTGTTTTTGTTTGGTTTTTCTTAGCTTAAATGAAACATTAAGTTGTGTTGACACTATGTTGTAAATATTTGACCAAAACAGGCCCATCCAGCTTTGTGGAGATATCCTTTGTGAGACTCTTTTCTGAAGACTAAGCTAAGGCTGACCCAGGGTTAGGTGACCTTTGTTACCTCAGACCTTCCCTTACCCCCATCTTGGCAAAGTTCTGAATTCCATCAATTTCTAAATGCTTGTGATTCCTGGGTGCCTTTTCCAATCCACTAAGTTATCCTTGGTTGCTGGCTAATGATAAATTATTTCACTTTTAAGAAGCAGTCACCTATCACTACATATTATAGAACTATGTGAAAATTATTTTCAATGTCAACTCGCTATACCAACATGTGATGTATTGGAATGGTTAATTTTTAAATGTTTGTTTTATTGTAAGGCAGGTGCTTTCGTTGAGGTAAGGGTAGTGATCTACCCACTCAGCCTTCTTTTGGCCTCACTTACCACTTCACGACATTTCCACAGAATCCAGTGCTTAAACCATTGGAATGTTGGAGCAAATTTGGGTTTTAGCCAGAAATATCTGAGTTCAAATTCCAGATGGGGTATTTACTAACTATATGATCTTGGGTAAGTTACGTAGTCTCTATGGGTCTCAGTTTTTTTATTCTTAAATGGGGGATAATATATCTTCTCCTCAGGCTTAATTGAGAATTAATGAGATAACAAATGTAAAGTTCCTGGCATACAGTAGGGACTGAACAACTTTTAGTTCTTTCTAATTGTCAGCTCACAAAGATGGGATTATAAACAATAGGAGACTGATTAATTAAGTTATGTGTAAATATAGAATACTATGACAGTGGAATTTCTGAGCCAGGGGATACATGTAATTGAAAATTTTTGGTGGTTACTTATATCAGGAAATAAAATAATAACATGTCCTTTGCCTCATCCCTTGTATAGATGCCAGACTCAGATCCAATAAACATTTATTATGTGCAACACATAGCGCTGGGCATATCCATGTCCATTATCCTATCTCGTAACCTGCTCATAGTAGTACTTCTTAATTAGCACCTCTGATTTTTGAAAAAAGATCAGATACATGGCATACTACATGGAAGCCAGGCATATTGTGACAGAGTAGTGTTAAAATTAAAAATAATTTAAGCACTGCTAATCTAACACATATTTGAGGAACATGAATACTTGCTACTATATTATATGGTGACCAGGAATATAACAAGTAATGCATTGTAATTATTCTTTTATTATTTAATCAAATATATTATAGTTTCCTCTTTTCTCAGTTAGTTCCCCAGTAACTATATTAAACATCAATATTTATAATTTTTGTTAGCAACACAGATAGTTTAATACTTATTGAGATAAAAATTCCAGATGTAATTTTTCAGTATGTAGGATTTCCTGTGAAGAACCTCTCTAGCCTACCCCAATCTGTGGCCCATGGTTGAGGGTCCCTTCACTCCTTTCCTCCTTCCTTTTCTCAAGTACCCAGAACCCGGAGTTACAAAACCTTGGTTCAGTCCCTTCTTTAAAGTGGGTTTCAAAAAATCCAAATCTATAGTATTTTCACAGGGTTAGTGTACTGATCACATAAGGAAAAATGCTGGGCATGGGACCTGGCATATAAAAGCTATTAAATAACCAGATCTACCCTGTTCAGATTACTTAACGGCCCAAGGCAGCAGAAACTTACACTGAAAGGCCATGGATGGGATGCGCAGGGGGAGCATCCCTCTGGAGGAGAGCATGCTACCCGCTGTAGAACTTGGAGTGAGGAAAGTGTAGAGCAGCAAGAACAGACTCTGGATTCCCAGCAGGTGTGAGGCAGAGGCAGGGATGGAGATGGCTGTGATATGTTGTAAAAATTTGGAGTTTGAAAAGACCTTAGTGGTCAGCCGGCCTAAAGCATGTAAGCTTGATACAATATCCCTTAGAAGTGATTTTCTAGTTCTGCTTGAACATATCCAGGGAAAGGAATTCACTGTCATACACTACTAGGACTGTTTCACTGCATCACAGCTCTAATTGATGAAAAGCTCTTCTGACATGGTGCTGAAATCTGATCCCTGTTACCTCCTCTCAATGGCTAGCATTCTATCTTCTTGAACCCAGAAATAGTCCAATTGCTCCTTCATCTGATACATGGGAGATGAAATCCAGTAACCTTGGCTTAAGCTTTTTAGCCTATTCTTGTCCCCAGTTTTAACCTTACAAGCTGGATCCAATCATTCTCAGGTGGTCTTGGGCTATTCCCATGGGCTGTGAATTGGATTGGAGCAGGAGGAGATACAGGCATGGAAACCAATAAACAAAGTTATCTTATCTCAATAGTGCTGGCAAGAAATGATCTGGGTCTAAATAAGGGAGAGAACAAGAAAATTGAAAGCGAGCAGCCATGAAGGAAGAAGAAGGTAAAAGAGAGGAAGGGAGTCACTGATGACCATGAACATATAAGAGAGATTGCCTTGGAGAACACTGTTGCCAAAGAAATGTAGGTTAGTCATACGGGAATACAGTTTGTTAAGAGAGATGAAAGATACTGTCTGACATATCAAAAGTGTACAGAATATCAAGAAAGAACTACATACCAGGTAGCTGGAGATACGAGAAAGAGGTACAGAGAAAAGTTGAGACAAGAAATGTTGACGTGGGGGTCTTTTTCAGGTTATAAGTAATGGACAAAGCCATGGCTGCAGATGAGCTCTTCAGGAGAATAAGGGAAATTAAAAGAGATGTCAGAGACCCTTTAAAATGCTTCTAAAATATGGCCCTGGGCATTGCCTCTACCTTTGACCCAGCTAAGGACCCCTTCCTCCTCTAGCCTGATGATCACAGCATCTTTTTAATAACTTCAGTCTGAGTCCAATTCACATTTGAATGTCAAAGGAATCCTCACATTATACTGAGAAGTTTCAGCAACGTTCATCTGCAACCTTAAACCCACATTTATATTGTACTATGGAAATATGAACTTTGGTCACCCAGAATTCAGCATCGCTTTTAAGAGAGGGGATCATTTAACCATAGGGTATGGCCAGACGTGGTGGCTCAAGCCTGTAATCCCAGCACTTTGGGAGGCCAAGGTGGGCAGATCATGAGGTCAGGAGCTCAAGATCATCCTGGCTAACACAGTGAAACCCCGTCTCTACTAAAAATACAAAACATTAGCCAGGCATGGTGGCTGGCGCCTGTAGTCCCAGCTACTTGGGAGGCTGAGGCAGGAGAATGGCATGAACCTGGGAGGCGAAGCTTGCAGTGAGCCGAGATCGCGCCACTGCACTCCAGCCTGGGCAACAAAGCAAGACTCTGTCTCATAACAAAACAAAAACAAACAAACAAACAAAACCCATAGGGTATGAATTTATCAATACCTAAACCTTTTTCTTGGATATTCTTGGACAACTAACTTACTGCACTTACCCATTGTAAATGTGAAGCTTCTAAGAAAACATTCAGCATCAGCAATTTGTGGCTATTTGAAAGCTTCTTCCCAGTTACAGAGCTTTGGTTCTCTGATGGTAGTTGCATGTGGTGATAGGTCCAATCTAAATATATCATTTATATTTGGGCATGAAGGAGGTGGAGTAGTCTGTGGTGACCATTTTGTAAGAATAAATTGCTAAAAATGGTGATAACGGTGATTTCTTTTTTTCTTTTCTTCTCTCTCTCTTTTTTTTTTAAACCTAGCAGAATGGTCTAGAATCACCTAGACTGACACTTTTAGGTAAATCATAGTCATCCTTCAAGCTCTCTTGAAATTCAGCATCACTTAAGATCATACCACAAGTGGCCGAGCTGTTCCACTAAAAACCAAAGCCAAAAAAGGCTGTGCAGAAATAACCTTTCTGAGAACTATCACAAAGGCAATGAAGTTGAAACTTTCGTATTAATACATGGTCAAGAGGTCTGTATCGCCCAATGCCAGCAATTCATTCCTGCCTCTAGATTGGCAGCTCACATCAAGCATGTATCCAGGGAAGTGGCAAAGATAGCAGACTATACAAAGTAAAAGGAACCACTTACCAATGCATTCACCAACTCCCCTGTCCCCCTTAATTTTACATTTTAGTTCCAGCACAATACTCTTCATCTTATTTCATTTAGTGTTGCCCTTTATTTTTATTATAAAAGAACTAAATGCTCATTGTAGATGAATTAGAGAATGAACATGAACAAAATAGAAATAGGAAAATGGAAAATCACCTACAGTATAAGCACAACACCTAAAGAGGCTCATTGCAACATTTTGCTGCATACTCTTCCAGTTTTTCATAGTAAATAAACATAAAATTTCCCATAATTAGTTTTTCAATAAACCTGTATTC